TAAAAGGGTCTTCAGAATATATAAAATTTACACTTATATTTTGAATAAATTAAATGTCAACTGTACGAAAATAAATAAAGAGAGAAATGAAAACAATAAACTTATAAAAAAATTATATAAATAAAGGTGTTAGTTATACGTCCTTGGTATAATTCATAATAATTTTTTTAAATATTGTCTACACTAATTTGAAAGCTAAGAAAGTAATCTACACATTAAAATTTAGAAAAAAACCAAGAATAAGTAAATGTGTTTTATATTCTTGAATGGCCATGCAAGTTTTACGGAGTAAAAAAAACCACATGTACCGTGATGGACTTTCTTTTAAAAGAAAATCCTTCATCTTATCGAAATCTTCAGAAATATACTGTTATTGAATTATCTTCTCTAATTCGTCGATAGCTTTTCCGTATGCAGTAACCTTAACCACGAGACCTTTCTGATTGATACTTCAGTCTGGAAGAACATGCTTTATTTATTAGTTGTAATTGGCTTTGAACTATATAGCTTTCAGTAACTGCGAGTACTCTTATAATACTATCTAATAAGATATGCAGTAGGAACACTGATACAAGGAGCACTCCAAATTCCCAACAAAACTTTCAAATTGATTCAAAGGCATTTTCAGAGTTTGGCTCCTGCATACCTGATCGAGTGGAGCCCATTGGTATAGTTGTCCTTAATCTGGGAACACCAGCTATATTGTCATTTCTGAAAGAGAGAAAAAAAGTTTTTAATTTCGATAAGGTCATGTATTTAAAATAATGAACATTGTTTATTAACAATTTTGTAAAGCTTTGATGATCATTCTAATTCAAAAGATTTTCAAATTTGATAATTTTGATTTAGTTAATAGATGCTGCGGTATGTGCTACAATAATCCTCATAAAAAAATCTGAAGGTACTTTCCTGTGCTTTCTCTATTTTTTCTGGTATTACAATAAACACAAAAATGCCACACAATTGGACAAGAATTAAAATTTGACATTTTGAATGAACGTAGATAGTAAGTCGTTAAATGATTTACCAATATTAATGTACATGAAACTGTCTTGATATAAAAATAAGGAGATGTGGTATGATTGCCAATGAGAGAACTATCCACCAAAGTTCAAATGAAGTGAATGATGTCTTTTTGCAAATATTAAGAAATATGAGCATCACATTTTAGTTGGTAAAAAAATGTTACACCAAGTGGTTTTACTTCTTTTTTCACAATGTATAATATTGCTATCTAAATTAAAAGATTTTTTTTTAAGTTATCTTACCATGCAATGGCTATTGCCTGAAACTTGTCAGGGTAGGCCTTCACATGATTTAAACTAAACCAAATGATAAGCTCTTTTTTTGTTATTCTATAGTATTTACAACATTGTCTATATTATAATGTGAATATGACAGAAAGTATAACCATCCGCATAATTATATAATGAGCAACTTGAAACAAATGAAAAAACTTCATTCGAGAAATTATTAAAAAGTATAGGTCCTAATATAGAGCCTTGCGTCGCTTGCTATATATATATATATATCTTTCCATGTACTTATATCGATACCAACTTTTACACATTGTTTTCTTTTACTTAAATATAGATATCTATCAATCTTTTGGCTGATTCTGATAATCCATACGCCTTCAGTTTCAGAATGAATAAATTTTGAGGAAGGAAATCGAAATCGAGAGGTCGTCCATCAACACAACAGCAGTATATTGATTTTGATTAATAGCCTTTTTGAAATTAAATTCTCAATATTTTTTAGGAGTGCTGTCTGCCAGCCGTATCCTGCCCTAAAGGCAGATAAATATGGGTGAAACAAATTTAAAAAAAAAAAAAACTTAGTCTATAGCTGCCGGTAGATAGCTCTCTCGAAAACCTTTGACACACCAGGTAAAATACTGACTGGCATATATATATATATATATAGTTATACAGCTATACCATGAAGTGTGACCTTTTTCATGTAGGTTTTTAGACAGTGCCAGTGCTTCTTTTAGTAAAATGTCTTCAGATTTTTCTAAAGTTATCCAATATTTAAGGATGCTTATTAAAATAGGCAATTGTATGGGTAAATGTCCCACTTCTGCCATGACAGCATTGTTTGTGCTCTTTCTGTTCACACCAAGTATATATTTACAACTTTTTACATTCAATTTTTCAAGTATAAAATCATTACATAGTTTATAAAAAGAAGATGAATCCTTGAGTTTTGGGGGACTGCCAGCACCCCATATTTCTGATCCGTAAAGTAAAATTGGCTGAATTGTGTGGTCAAATATATGAATGAAGGTTGAAATTTTTGGAAGTGAATCATTAAATGATTTTCTTAGTTTAAAAAAGGCCTTTAACCCCTTTTTGTAAAGTTCAGATTTTGCCTCTGTAAATGCACCAGATGCTGAAAATACAACTCCCAAATATCTATAATGTTTAACATTTTCTAATGTGATATTATTGATTGTAAATTTTGAACCCAATAAGCGACCAGACGTGTTAAATATCACACATTTAGTTTTTTCATAGTTTATTTTCAGGTTCCACTGCAAGCAATAAGATGACAGCTTATTAAGAGAGGTCTGCAGTCCCTTTTCACCTGAAGATAACAATACCATATCATCAGCATACAGCAAACAACTCAATGGATTCTTATTTAATAATGCTGGGTCACTAGAGATATCAAAATAATTCTTTATTTCGTTAATAAATATTTTGAATAAATTTGGGCTTAAATTGTCTCCCTGTCTTACCCCAACATCAGATTGAAACAATTCAGTCAAATTATGACCTGATTTGACACATAGTTTAGTATTGACATACATATTATAAAATTTATCACTTACGCCAATTTGTCTCAGTTTATAGAAAAGCCCCTGAAGCCAAACTGAATCAAAAGCTTTTTTTAAATCAATAAAGCATGCATACAAAGGTTTACTCCCTTTTTTTGTATGTTTTTCAATAAGGGATCTTAGAACAAACATGTGATCCACAGTACGTTTTTTCTTTGTAAATCCTATTTGTTCGTGGTGTATAATATTGTTTTTTAAAAGAAATTTATCTAATCGTAAATTGAGGACTTTTGTGAATAATTTTCCAACACAGCTATTAATAACAATGCCTCTATAATTACATGGGTCATCTTTATCTCCATTTTTATGAATAGGATAAATATACCCTTGACTCCACTGAGTTGGATACTCCCCTGATGAGAATATAGTATTAAATAGTTTATTAAGTGGTTTCACCAAAACCGACTGGCCACATTTAAGCATCTCATTTATTATTACATCAAAGCCTGCTGCTTTATTATTGTTAAGCTCTTTTATTGCTTTATGTATTTTAATCTCAGATATGATGTAATCTAATTCGTTAAAAATTTTGTTTTTTTCTAAATTTTCTAAAAGTATATCCATTCCTTTATTTAAGTATGTCTCTTTGTTCAATTTCCTGAAATAATCATACCAATCAGTTTCAGATACATTACTTTCATCATCAGTTTTAAATTTATCTTTTGATTTAAGCTGATCAAGCAGTTTCCAGTATTTTGTTTATACATGTAAAAAACCAATTACCTTCATTTATACAATTGCTGTTAATAACTTTAATACTAGGGTGGTTATGATTGACAGTAAAGTCTGATCCAGTATCTTTTGCTACATTTACAAACATATTAGCAACCTTTGACTGATAATTTATAATGTTATCATTGTCACATAAAATAATATTGTTCTCAAAATGAGTACCTTTTTTTTTGCTAAAAAATGTTACGGGGGGGAGGGGGGAAAAGTCTTTGCTTTTTTGGTGTTTTTTCAAACCGCTCTATAAAATAACTTCTAACTGATTGGCGCTTGATTTTGTTGACAAAATTTCTTTGGACTCTATGTTTTTCCCAGTTAGTTTTCTTTGATTTCACCTTATTATATATATCGTACTGTAACAAAATCTTTTTCATAAATATAGCTGGTCTAAGTTCATGATTTATGAATGGGGCAGGATTTTGTACATGTTTTTTTTCTCTTTTTCAATGGTATGTGTTTATTTACAGTATTTCAATGATGATAATCAAATTATTCAAATTCTTATTTGACATCATTGTTTTCTTCAATTTTCTTATTAAAAGTATTTTGTTTACGATCTCTCCAAAAATGTCCATGATCAAATTTCACCGGGTTCTGTACTAATGGAGAAGTTTGAGTTCACAGTGGAAAATTTGACGTGAGAAATCCTATACAAGGGATCCGGTCATGATTTTGCCCTGAGTACCAGAAGGTAGTCCTAAATTTAAGTTGAATATTGGTGCCTTATAACGAGAACAATCATAGATAAACTTAATTACATGATTGCCTTGGCTAAATTTTTACTGGTATAACTATATGATTCGCAAAGGCCTACCAATGGTATTTTACAGTTTGTTTGGGTAATCATAGTATATAATTCTTGATTTTCTATCTAACATGTAAAATGACACCAAGGAAATATATAATACTATGTATAGTAATTTCCGACTTAGCATTGATAACATAAGTCGGTGCGATCTTGTAAGTGTGACACTGTCATGCCTACATATATGCATCTTTTGATTGACATGACAAGCAGAATTTAGTCTGCAAACGTAGTCAGACATTTAGGTAACTATGCGCTTTGTTGCAGGTCAGGGAGTTATGGGCAATATGTCCCGTATTTTCTTGTTTAGTTCGGTATGGATGAATGATCCGGGCCTTCCTTTAGCTAAATAATAAAGAAAAAAAAACATTTTCACGAAATATGTTTCAAATATGTGAAAAGGGATAATCTATTATACTTATAATCTACATTTGCACTGTTTGCAACAACATAACTTGCAAGTGGAGAACAATCAAATCCTAATTTTTAACTGGTTGCAAATTGATTAGCTCCAAATACTCTACCTTGCTGTTTATGTATCATTCAAACTATTTACGCTTCTATATTTACACATTTTATAACCGGATTTTAAATTTTAGCATAGATTAATGAAACATTCAACCACGCGTCCTTGAACTAGATATTCAGTAATGTATATATTATGCTCACTGGGCGAAAGATTTTCTGACAACAATTAAAATGATTGAAACAATCGAGTGGTAAAATGGTTTGCTAAATCACACAGGGCAAGAGGTTGGATATAGATATATGATAATCAGATAAGTAATATTTCTAATTTTACTTTAATCAAGAGGTGTCTTTTATGCTTAATTTTTTTTTTATCATTTTGGTGATCATTGTTGCTATATGATTTGAATTTGACCAACGGGGGACAGTTTTTTACTATTACCACTGAGAGACACAGGGGCGGATCCAGGATTTTGGAAAGGGGGGGCGTAGTATGTAAAATTCGCGGAGCGGAGCGAGGCGAAAATTTTTTTTGACCTTTTTTGGGCTACAAAACATAAAATAAGTGTAAAATGCACATTTTTAGTGACGGTTCCTAACGTGGGGTATGTATATTTTATAGTTAAAGTGTAAGCTTGGGTGGGACATTTTTGATGCCGGATTCTCCCCATTAGTTGTCTATTATAAAATGATTGAATGGATCTAAAGCTATATACTAATATATTTGATGTGGGATTTGTCAGTAAAAAATGGACATGGACAATTCTCGTTTGTTGTATGGTTTGTTAGCATAACCTCACAGATTACTTGTTGTAAACATGATATACGGCTATTCAATGAAGTTTATAATACGACCGACACGAACAAAGACAAACAAGCAATTTTTATCCAAATGTTTGGTTGAAATATTTCACTCAACAAGGGAAGTGAGGGGTTCCAAATCAACCAACGGCTACGAATGAGTCTGAAAATCAAATGACAACGAAGTTGTGAATGACGGTCGACAAATGGAGACATAAAGGCCACACCCAGCAGGCAGGTTGCAGTTGGGCCTTGAAAAAAGTATTCAGTATATCAGTTCGGCGAAACAGACATTCCGGTTAGATATGGGATTTACATGCACCCCCCCCCCCCCCCCAAAAAAAAATTAAAAAAAAATTACGCCCGTTTTTTATTCACCATGTTCATTTAATGCTGAATAATTCTGTTGGTTTTTTTTTCTTATAGCAAAAAAGGGGACACGATAATTGTTTTCATTACAGATACGGCCAGAATTTTTGTTTAAGGCAAAAATCAGGGTCAGAATTTTTTCTCTAAAATATCTCAGACTGCCCTATCAAATCAAATGGTCCGTACCTTAGACTTTAAATATATCTAGAGCTTACTGACTGGGGATCATTATTCAGCAATGTTATTAATTGGCTGGGGCGTGTGGGGTTAAACATATTTTCGTAGGTAAATAATATTGCCGTGGAACTTTTTTTTTTATGAGAGTGTATATATATATAATAGAGTATTACTTTCTGTTGAGTGGAAATATGAAATAGAAGTCAATACGTTCTTGATCAATCCTTTGTCTTCTTGAAGGCGTCATGCTTGTCATCCTCCGCCTAAGCAATGTGTTACTGTAATTACAGGCGTGATCCAAATACAGACAATGATAATATTAAAACAACAAATAAGATGTTTGAATCAATCTATATTGACAATGTAAGTGAAACGATCTACATTGAAATTGTTGTTTTTAAGAAATTAACGCAGGATTACCAAAATTTCGAAATTGCTATGGTTTGGTTTTAAGCGATTGACATGGTCAAGTTAAGTGACTAGAAATTCGTCATGGTTATGACCAAATTTGTCATGGTTTAGATACAAATAAATACATATTTGTTTCACCTTAATACTGATAGTTTGTTTGAAGGCGCTTGTGAAAAAACGATGTTACACAATTTACCAATTGACTAAGAAGAAAAAAAGACTTTTTAACCAAATCTGGTGGGCGTAATCGGCAAACCGTACATTATACTTTTTTACTTTTCGTGTGTTACCTAAGAAATAATATAACCACTGCTCTTTTTAACTGGCATTCGGTCAAATAAGTTACTTCTGTTTCACCTAGAATCTTTTCTCCGTATATCCATAATGGACTCTGCCGGGGATATCGTGAGCACTAGTCAAATGGTTAAAGACGTATACCTAAGGTTGCAAAAAACGTAGCAGCTAGTCTTGTTTAACATTTTTTTCTAGCAATTTATACATCTGTTGTTTTTATTTCGAACAAAATTAATTCTATGATGAATAAAAGGAGATGTAGGGGTTGTACGCCCATGATACAGTAACCCAACTACAAAACTTAACCAAACGATATCGAGATACAATCTTCAACTCTCCACAGGACAAAATGTTAATATGGACAACAGTTAACACTTACTTTTTTAATAAACTATAAATGAAATTTCTATGAAAAGTACTTACAAAGTTCCGAATTTAAATATATGAAAGATCACAATTTCGAATAAGAATTACGTCGATATAATGTCCATTTTTATCAATTATTATTACCAATGAATAACAATGATTATGTTTTTGTCATATTGTATATATGCATTGTGTGGTATCACTTAACCCGTTTAAGCTTTTTTCTTTTATGCAATAGATTTTCGATAATATCAGAAAAGGCGCTGTCGGTCTAGTATTTAGTATGAGAAATTCAGTACATTATTAGATGTGATTGAAAAACACAATTTAAATTCCAAGATACACGTGCTATTTGTTTGGTACAAGTGCATTTAATCTATTCGAACCGACAAGACAAGAAGTCATCGTTCTTAATATCAGAGAATAAGATGGATGAAGATGAACATTGGCAGCAGAATTCCATTCTGAAATTAAAAAATCGATCTGATGAGTCAAGTCCTTTTCAACTGATTTTTATAGTTTGTTCTTTTTTGTTGTGCTGTTACACCATTGCATGCCCATGTAAAGGCGAGGAGGGGGTTGGGAGCCCGCACACATGTTTAACCCCGTCATATTCTGTATATGCCTGTCCCAAGTCCATAGTCTGTAATGCAGTGGCTGTCGTTTGTTACTGTATGCCATTATTAGTTTTCGCTTATTGTTTTGAACATTAATCAGGCCGTTTGTTTTCTCATTTGAGTTGCTTTACATATAATTTGTCGGAGCCTTTTATAGCTTTCTAAGAGGTATGGATTTTGTTTATTGTTGAATGCCGTACGGTGACCTATAGTTGTACCATCTACGTCATTTGGTCTCGGGTGGATATTTGACACATTGGCAAACATACCGCATCTACTTATTATATATTACTATGTGCTTTCTTAGGTCCATTTGAATTCCAAATAAAACTACGTTTTAAGAAATTACCTTTGAAATGCATTAATATTTTATCCTCGTTATTTCTTTATACATGCGTGTTATATAAAGATAACTATAATGATGATATCTCGAATTTATTGTAGAAGACTTATTTTCTCGAGCGATGTATTTTTCGCGAGTAGAAGATCAAAGTAAATATGTGAAGCTTAGATCTACTCGTATGGGAACAATACAACATTAGAAAATGGCGACAATATATTGCCACGAAATAGGATATAATGGGTTAAACACGAGATAAAAAGGTTTCGGCGAAATTTTTTTTAACAGTATTTCAATAGTTGTATAATGTCTGTTTATTTTGATCGTTACTCTTCCATCATACTCGACAGGAATAACAGAACTGACCCATGTCGAACATGAACTAAACCATGACACTACTGAACAAAATCATGACACCGTATTTCCAGTAATCTTAATTTGTGTGCAAATGTAGCTATTTTTCAGAATAATCGACGACAGTTTTTAATTATAACGAAATATGTGATGTAAGAGACAGTAAACAAATCACTTTTTTATGCACGAAAAATGAATAAGCAACTTTTAAATTTTGACATACGCAAGCATTATTCTGTGTCAAATTATTGACTAGATGATACACATTTTAATGAGCTAACATATTAGCTATATACAAAGATACTTACCAGCTTGAATTTATGTTCAGAAGTACCTTTAGCAAAATATCCGAATGTTGTGTCATTGTTTGTCAATAAAAAAGCTTAACACAATTATGTCTAACTTAACTAAACTATGACAAAATCACTGTACTAAACACTCATTGGTATGACGACGTTACTACCCGTGATTAGATGAGTTTTAAAAAACCAAGATAATTTTGTGGTACGTGAAGCGTTACCAACAGAATTTAAAAAAAAAAACAAAAATCATCAAAATGATTAGATAAGTGTACCAAGCTAGACAAATTTGTGCTATGTGAAGTGTTAACAAATGGAATTGTAAAGAATGAATTAACAAAGAATAGTCAATTATTAGTCCAGTGGTTATGCTTGTAGTCTTTCTATAAGACTACTAGTAAGACTTGTCACACTAACTCTAAAATGACTGTAATATACATCTCTGGTGCTAACCATCTTGACTGGTTTTTTTTATGGATATCCTATCTACAAATATAATGGCCAAAATAGAAATAACCTATGTATAAATTGCAAACACGCCTTTCCCGAAAAGAGCGCATATTCCATATCCCTAAATCCCTTCATCATTAAGGACTTATCCATGACATTTGACCTTCATATTACGTGTAGATCTTGATAGGACAATTTTTCATCGATGAGCTCCACCCAGGGTCGTATCCAGCCATTTTTAAAAGGGGGGGTTCCCAACCCAGGATAAAGGGGGGTTCCAAGTATATGTCCAAATTCAAATGCATTGATCGTCAAGAAAAAAAGGGGGGGTTCCAACCCCCGGAACCCCCCCCCCCCCTCTGGATCCGCCACTGTCCACCACCCCCACCCCACCCCGAACGTTTTAAGATACATGATGTGTGGGGAAGGTACCACAACTCTATACGAAGTACAGTTTTCATTGTTCAAATTCAAAACAAAAATAAAGAGTATACGATATAGATTTGCTATTAATTTATAAATTCCCTTTATGTAGGTTTATTGCTAACCTAACAAGAATGCTGTAAAAGGGGTTTTAAAGTTAATCTTAATGTATCCCGTCGAATGTTTTAAGGAAGAAATCATAGCGTGTTTGACTGTTACGAAATTTCTAGGTAATCACGGATAAGTCTTATTTGTAATAGACATAATCCAATCCCCTAAAGCCTATCTTCGAATACTTCCTTTTATATCAGGGTGCCCTGTTTGTGAAAGCTGTAACGACAAAGTAAAAATATGAAAATAATGAGATGTGGTATGATTGGAACCGAGACAACTATCCATGAAACAACAAAATGACGTGGATATAGCAACAGAATGACGTGGATATAGCAACAAAATGACGTGGATATAGCAACAGAGTAACAGATTGATGAATAAAAATACAAATTATTGCCCACATTTACTTGTTTAAAAAAAAGACGGGTGGAACAAAAACTGCCTACTTTTCCGTAGCAGAAGAGCACACGTGTTATGATTGGTTTCTATTTTTTCCTTTAGTCATGGTGTTGGTTTTTCTTCTGTGAACTGTGATACACCATTTACTTTTACATAAATGACTTATCTAAGACATTTTGTTTGGTTAAATGTTATATGGATTCAAAGCACAGACATATTGGAAGAGATTGTTTATAAGTTTGTTCCGAGACCGTGCGTGACCCTCGTGGTTTGGTTGTCAAGATCGTTAAAAAACCTCTAGTAGAAGTTCTAAGAGGTCAGCCTAACATTTATCAAACAATAGATATAACATACCTATACCGATTGGCTCTTAATAAATGTACTTGATGTTATTGTTTTTAAGGATGACAGAAAAAAACATTGAAGGTATGCTGACTGTGATGCCAGCACCACTTCCCGTTTACCAAGGTGTCGTTTTACCATCTTTTATACCTCTTAGAGAAGATGGACTTGAGAAGAGAATGAAAGAAATTACTGAATTTAATTTCCTTGACAGCGACATACTACTATGCGGTTATCCGAAATCAGGTGACATAATATTAGAACTGTATAAATGTGACATTTGATCCGAATTGCTGTAGTGTAATAAGTCGAATGTTTCAACGACCATACCTGTTCAAGTTTAAATTAGGACCATGCTGATAAGTCTGTGTTGCCCTGTAGTAATCACTCTGTCTGTCTGTCGGTCGGTCAGCCTGTGCGTCCGTCAGAACTTCTATGTCGTATACTGCATATCGTATAAAAAGTCAAGAAAAACTCAACTGATTTTCAAAATGTTTATGTACAGTGTTTAAAACTATAAAGGAAGGTCCATTTCGAGTGTTGTTTTTTTTTTGTGGGACAAGAATTTGTTAAAAAACGTAGTTTGTTAAAAATAAAATTCACAAACTTTGAGTAACATCATTTTTGTGCTATAATTTAAACAAAAATAACATGTGATTATTGATATGCTGTTCAAAATATAATTGCAATGACAAAAATTGGTTTTTGTGCTAATTCCCTAATTTGCGGTTACAATTTGCTATTAAAAAAATATTTTTCGTTAAAAATTTACACATTTTGAGAAACGTCTTTTTGTTTGAGGATTTCAATGGAAATTGATATATAAATATAATGAGCTGTTTCGTATTATTCTAGGCGTCAGAAATTTGAAAAATGTGGTAAAAAAAAAATTTCTGTTAAAAAGTCACAAATCCAGTCTGATTAAAACCAGGCTGCAAACGCAAGTGGATAGTGGGGGCTGATTTCAATCAGACTGTCACAAATTTTTAGAAATATTTTTGTGCTCGCAATACAATAAAAATTGTTATATAGATATAAGAAGATGTGGTATGAGTGTAAATGAGACAACTCTCCATCCAAGTCAAAATTTATAAAAGTAAACCATTATAGGTCAAAGTACGGTCTTCAACACGGAGCCTTGGCTCACACCGAACAGCAAGCTATAAAGGGCCCCAAAAATTACTAGTGTAAAACCATTCAAACGGGAAAACCAACGGTCTTATCTTTTTAAAAACCGAGAAACGAGAAACACTTATGAACCACATCAACAAACGACAACTACTGAACATCAGATTCTTGAATTAGGACATGTGCAAACAATTGCAGCGGGTTTAAACGTGTTAATGGTACCAAAATTTCACCCTTATCTGAAACAATAGTGTAACATCACAACATAAAAAGACGCACTATAAAATATCAATTGAAATGACTTAACTCAATCAAAAGACATATTAACACCAGTGAACATACACTGAACAAAAAAAATGATCTATGATACAATGTAAATACAAAATAAATAAACTAAGGGAAGAATGATTAAAGTAACATGTTATACCGCTGTGAAATGTTATCCAATAGAAGGCCCGTTTTTTTTATTCCGGACCATTAACCTGGTTTTAATCAATTGACGGGTCGGTCTTAACCATGCAGTTAAATGGTTAAAGAACATTTCTACCGGGATCAAAAGCATGTTTTAGATATTTTCAAAAGGGTCTATAGCTTAAACATTTTTCTTCAACCGTTGCGGTTTTTTCTCTCTCCCTTTTAACATGTTTATGGTTTAAGCTTAAACAGGTTTTAGGTTGTTTTTAACCAGTTACTAGTTTGAGTATAAAAAAACAGGCCTTTAAGAAAAACAATATGCTTGAACAAAAATATCAGCCATTTGCAATTACTTTTAACACAGGTAAATGAAAATAATTTTGTTGTTAGGTATACGTGTACAGTTCAAATGGAGAAAGAAAATATTTTTACAAAATAAATAATTTTGATGTTCATAGTACGAAGAAGTGAAAATTTATAGTAATACCAAACACTTATCAAAGCTGGTATATGGACCAGATATAACCCTGCTGTATTATGCTTTTCAAACTTGTTTCCTTGTATCAAAATTGATTTTTGTACAAATGAAAATGAGGAATAGATAGTTGGAAACTGTTTTTTTGTTGTTAAAAAATCACTTATTTTTATAAATGGTTTCTTACAATAGGATTTAAACAAAAATTGATACAAAGGTGTGATAAGTTATTTCGAATTAAATGAAGGTGCCAAAAATTAAAAAAAAAATAGTATAGACTTACTTTTTGTTAAAAAAGTACTAATTTAATTTTATGAAACATCTTTTTACGATAGGATTTCAACAAAAATTGATACATAGGTATCATATGCTATTCCAAATTGTTTCTCTATTTCAAAAATGTGGTAAAAAGTAAGTTTTTGTGAAAAAATATCACAAATTTTGAAACATCTTTTATGTTGGATAGATTTATTATATGCATTCTGAATTGTTCCCTGGTGTCAAAATTGGGATAAAAATTATCATTGACAATTTTGAAAAAAACATCTGTTTTTTGCTCGGATTTGAATGATACATTTGTATGTCGGTCTGGTATAATTAGCTATTCCAAAATCATTTTTCTTTGTGTCAAAAACTATTGGTTGTTCACCTAATGCCTACCTAAATATATAGTGCTTGGATTTTACTAGCACTTTATCGAGAACACATTCGGAGTTAATTGCTGGTGTCAAAATTTATGAATATGAATTAAGGATGTTTGCTACTCTGTTTCAACATAACCAGCTTCTAAAAGACTGTTATAAATTGGTAGTTTATAAATAACGGAATTAGAAAAGCAGAAAAAATGAAGGGTCCGTTTCCTTTGTTTTCGAGATATAAGCCATTGAAAATTTGGTGGGAAATTATTCTCTCTAGACTTTTCATACATTTAACATTGACACCTTTTTGCTTTCAAAAACTATGAAAAAATAACAAGGATTTTATAAGATTTTCAAATATGACCTTTAAAACTATATCTTATAAATTATGAAAAGAAAAGTAGGGGTTAGTGGGCAAATCTTTTACATTATATTATATCAATAAAACCAGAGGATCCGAATATCTGACAAAAATTCAAAAACAAGAGAAGCCAACTTCCTTAATTTGTATGCCTTAGTCTCTGCGGCTTACACAAAATGTGCAAGCGGGGGAGTTTTCAATTGTTTGAAATTTCCTTCATAGTGACTTTTATTATTATTAATATCTGACTGAAAACAAAATGTATTTCGACAATTAACGGCGTTCATAAACAAGTTATATTATGACTTGAACAAGACATATAGTCGTCTTTTCTTTCAAAAAGCAGCCAAGACATCATACTATTTTGATGTAGGAAATGATACTAAAAGCTAAAGTAACCACTAATATACAAATAATTCAGAAAACGGAAAAAGCAATCTGATTAAAATTACAGAGCAAACGCTTCAGATGCAAGAGCTTGAACAAATGGATGACTCATATTCCGGACTCGCATTGATTTCATGACATGGTTCACGTTGATCAGCCTTCCAGATTGGTATATTGTGTAACGCTACAAGGTCCTATAACACCTATTATCAGAAGTACCTGTTAATCCATATTTATTATATTTCAGGAAATCATTGGACACAAGAAATCATAGAATTAATAATTAACAAAAAGGCTGAACTAACACAGACGGTTTTTCCCGATCTTGTTCTGGAACTCTGCGACATTGACAATTTACAAAACATGACCATGGCACGACGAACGCTTCATACTCATTTACCCCTTCGTATCCTGATGTCAAATAAGAGGCTAGATAAGATAAAAATTGTCGTAATATTACGAAATCCAAAGGACGTCTGTGTTTCATTTTACCACCACAGTAAAAAAGATGTCTTCATTAAAGACTTCGATATTCCTTGGAATGACTTCTTTGATAAATGGACACGGAATGAGTGTAAGTACTATGGAAATGGAAAAGGAAATAGCTCTTATTCTTGAAAATTCTGGGGAAAAAAATTGTATACAGTCATTAGTTTTTTAGTGTTTCTGAACCATAAACCACTAAAACATGCTAGAATTATAAAGAATATGTTATTAGAAAGTTTTATGTTACACCTAGGACAAATGAGTTACGAAAGCTGAAGCGTTAATACAGAAACACTTCTTAGTTAATTTTGGTTGTCTTTTTCTTTTGTTATTTATGACGCCACTGTGAAAACTTGATGACTATCTATTGGTATATTCTTTTGTTTGTTTACACTACACATTTCCAAAAAGACACCTGATTATGAATTTTTCTTAACACCTCCGAGTACCGTAATCTAATGATAAAGACTTACATGCACATACTAGTATATTTTTGTACCAACTTAATATAATTATAGATATATATCCTAACATAGTTTTGTTCTGACAGTACCGTATGGTTCATGGTACAGACATGTAACAGAATTTGAAAAGGCAAAGAAGAATGGCTTGGACATAACATTTCTTCATTATGAAGATTTAATTACGGTAAGAAGCAATAAAGGAAGAGTATACAATAAGTCATACAAGTGGGAGGTTTAGCTGGCTATAAAACCAGGTTTAACCCTGCATTTTTTCTTCGGAAAAATGCCTCTACCAAGTCCGGAATATGACAATGGGTTGGTGTAGTCGATCGTTTGATTTTTGTCAGGTTTGTGGACTTCCCCCTTTTTGGATTTGCCTTGGAAATTTCAATATAGGCGTTCGGTATTTTTGTTAATACTTTTTTTATATACATGACAAAATGGCTGTTTTCTTCATTAACTGTTGTTTTCTCTCATTTTAAACTTACACAGTTCAGAAATAAGTAATTTTATTGTACTACATGCAAGGATTGTTTACATATGCAAAACATAAAACGTAAAAAAATGTACATGACGTGATGGATAATTAAGTTCATTTTTAAAAGTCTTGTTACCAAATAGCTCCTCGGCTCACAATTATAAAATAAAATGTCCCTTGTCTCCATTATAAAAATTCTTAATGAAAATATGGTTAAATATGTGAACTTCTATGCATTGCATTTTGGTCAATTTTACGAAGTGGTAGTTTTCATACAAGTAATTTACAAGTTTATTTTTTTCAGCAACCACAATCAACAATAAAAAATTTGGCAGAATTTTTGGGGATAGGTTGTACCAGCGATTTAGTTACAGACATCATTAAAACTACATCATTTGAAAATATGAAACAAAACAAAAAGGAGTTATCAAAGATTTTTGACCCAGAAGGCAAAGGAATAATATTCCGGAAAGGTATAACCAATCAATACATTGTACTTTATATATTTAACAAGTGACCTTAAGGTAATATGGGAGTCTTTCGTCATCTTGGATTTGTTAAATAGCAGAGCACAACAGGTCAAAATTTGCAATCAAGTCATCAAAATTTGACGAGGAATGAAATTAACTAATGTGAATTTTCATTTAAATGAACAAATCTATAAGATTTAACTTATAATTACTAATAGTTTTACGAACGTACATTATTTTTTGCTTTATTTTGAATGTTTTTAAATTGGCGAATTAAAGGGAGATAGCTTTGAAATAGTACATTTTCTGAAGGAATCAACATGAAATTTTGCTATATTATGTTTTAACAGGAAAGAATGTACGGTGACCCTATCTTTTCTTTAATATTCTGAAAGCATTTTCTTAAAGCTATCTTCTCGTATTTTATTTTACAATTCTATCATTTAGTTATCTTCTATTATACATAATGATGTTTTTCCTGTATAATCCGTACAAACTGTGTCATTTTTCCACAACCTGTAGCTTGAGATATCACAATACATACTACGTTTTGGCAAAGGACGAACAAATTATATCATTTTTAATTTATACTCCCATACCACCTTAAGAGTATTTTTAGTTGTACTTTGAAGAAAGGAACACCAAAGTTATTTTTTTCACGGTAGTAAGTAAATATACAAAAATATTTGCAATTGGGTGTAAAAATATTCAGAAGTTTGTGCTTTGTTTTAACTCGTCTGTTAATTTAATAGCAAATGATATAACAAATTTGAAATTAAATTTCGACAGTGAAGCATTTAATTGGTTTTAGTGAGTTTCTGATGACTTTCACAAATTCAAAAACAAAACTTCTGCTGTTCTATTTGGCCTATGTTGGTTGAAATACACTCAAACATTTAATTATGATTTTGCTTTGCAAACATTTGGTTACTTGCGTCCCTAATCAGAGTATATGATGAAAGTTTGTTTTTCGTCAGAAACATTTGTTATGCGCTCGGGAATGATATCATGTGATTTACTATCACTGGACCAGTACCCATGCAGGTGGTCTAACAGTCCCTGAGAGTACCAATATCATGTGTTTTCGTACTAGCATTCATTAAACGATATTGTTTCCATAAATTATGGAATTGTGAATAAATTCTATGTAGACCCTTTTGGAATCTATACTCTCAAACGATTTATATTTTTGACCTTCCAAGCTTTTACTACTGTTGTCAAGCGTACCTGCATGATATATGTGTGGTATACTGAACGGCTACATACAATATAGCAACTTCTAAACCGCCCTTTGTCTAAAAAATGTGGGAACAAACTAAACACACCCATTATAAAAGGTCAAGGTTATTCCAGAAACACGCGTAATGCGCAAGGAAATCAGAGCATATATTTCCCCCTGACTATACTACTTACTCACGAGATTTCCATTAATTCTAGTTCTTGAGACCCTTTACCCTTTTCTTTTTTATTATATAAATAATTCGTACTTTTAAACACGTAGCTTTCCATGTGGATTAGAATTAGGGAGGTGAGGTGGTTTTTAAATTTAAATCATAGAGTTCGCCTTGGGAGAAAGGTGGCCGTAAACAAAAGACTCAGTAAATCTGGACCCTCTTGATTTTTTTTATGATGATAAACATTATGGATACACCAATAAGTCATATAAAAATTGTCATGTATTTTAACTTTTTTTTTGAAGGTCAAGTTGGTGACTGGAAAAACTGGTTTACAGATGCACAAAACGAGGTCTTCGATAAACAATACAAGGCTGAAATGAACCACACTAATCTTGAATTTAAATTTGCCTGAATATTACAAAACATATTAAGATCTTGACTTTTTATAATTGTCGTTCTAATTCTCAGTTGTTAAAAAAGTGAGAAGATACCTATGTCAAAAAAAGACTCATAAGAAGGAAAAGTAAAAACCCATTGGTATAAGAAAAAAGACAAGAGGCAACAAGTAGTCCACAAAACATTGCACACAAAATAATTCAGTTATACTCCTCAAGTAGCACGTGTCTAGTGACAAGTAAACATTCAGTGATATGACATGTTTTTTTGGCAGGACGGAATTGTGGGTGCGAAAAAAAAATTGAATATATCCGTCGTTATCTGTATATAGATATAAGAAGATGTGGTATGAGTGCCAATGAGACAACTCTCCGTCCAAGTCAAAATTTATAAAAGTAAACCATTATAGGTCACAGTACGGTCTTCAACACGGAGCCTGTTTTCCAGATTCGTCAACCAAGTAATTATGCCTGGAAAAGCCACGTCTAATTTGAAGCATTTATGAAGTACCCTTTCAAAAAGAGAAAGATACCTAAAATGGAAATACAACCCAGGAGCGGTTCCCGGATGTTTGAATGATTTTATGCTAAAAAAATCACATAAATCGTGAAAAACATGATATGATAAAAGAATTTGCGATCAAAGGGCCACCCCCCTCCCCCTTCCCCCTCATGGTCATGAAGAACAGACAACACCATGACAACATACAAACAACCATCCACACAACACAAAAATAACTCAAGACATGGCAACACGAGGCCCCACCTAAAACCAGTGTGAAATAAGGTCCTCCGGAAGGGTTTTCACTTCTTGTTCTACCGGAAGCAATCGCCATGTTGATTATGGCAGGTTAAAAGTCAGCGACTCTTTTCACAAAAAATCTTACGATTAAAATTGATCGTAAGTTATACTGAAAAGTGTATGACTTACGAGTATTTTTACTCTTAAGATTTTTTGTGAAAAGAGTCGCAGGTGACGAGTTGCAAAAACTAATGTCATGAACGAAGGAGAGAGGACTGGATTGTGGCTACGACGAGTGCAGCATATCCATGGTTATCATTAGCACGGACATTCCATAACCGGTCAATCACATTACGGTGGCATGTGTAAAACTTTTGAAGAGAGTGCTTCAATACTACCAAAAAATATTAAGAGTTTGATTCAGAAGTAGAAACCCTTTGTCAAGAAATCACGATAGTAATCGGAAGCTAAAGGATGTAATATTAACTGGGAGATTATCTCCGTGTATCAAGTGGGTCCTCGGTGGCCAAGTGGTCTAAGTAGTTCTACTACTGTAATCACTAGCCAGTCAACACTGAGGTTGTGAGTTCGAACCCCGCTCGTGCGGGTGCACTCGACTCCAATCTTAATTGACTAGGATTGTCAGTTTTCCTATCGAAGGTCGGTGGTTTTCTCCGGGCACTCCGGCTTCCTCCACCAATAAAAACTGGCCGCCACGAAATAGCCCAAAAGTGGCGCTTAAAAGTGGCGTTAAAACACCAACAATCAATCAATCAATCAATCCGTGTATCAAGTTAGAAAATCGTTACACGTGTCCGTTAAACAATATCAATTTTTACGGAATACTGTACACATTTTTACAAATATTTTGATTTATGGTCATTTTGAAAATTAAAAAGGGACACTAGAAGGTTGTATCTCGCATTCCTTTTTTTTTACAATGAAAGAATGGTCATCTACGGAATCAGATGGAAACATTGTTTTTTTGCATTTTTTCCAGAAAGCTGAATTAGTTGTCCCCATTTTATCTTTTTGGAGTTTCTATGGTATTCGTTTTTCGGCTTATTCCTTTATATCAAGAGAAGATTTTCCCAATGAAGAAATTTTGTGTAAATTTGTCAATTTGTCAATTTCATATATTTTGAGTTGAGCATTTTTGATGAAGGTGGACACTGAATAGCGCTTCAGACGTACGAACTATTTAAAGTGTTATATTCATTGGTAGTGTCGAAGTGTTCCACTGATTGGCTGTACATATTTGTATCAATAATACACCTATGTACACATTTCAATAGACATGTTACGAAAAGGTATATAATCGACGCTGAGGTTAACAAGTTAGACTTTAAATGTGGGGACTGTGTCAAAACATTGATTATCGACTTAAACCGGCAAAATTTAAATCATATGCGTTTTGTTGCAGTTGACCTTGCAGTTGACCATCTATCCCTCACTTTAATTATACTAATTTAGAACATCTTGTTTTACATCGAACATATTTTTAATAGCATTGCTCGTTGGTAAGGGCGGGAAAGGTGAACGTTTGTGTGTGTGTGTGTGTGTGTGTGTGTGTGTGTGTGTGTGTGTGTGTGTGTGTGTGTGTGTGTGTGTGGGGGGGGGGGTAATGCAAGTATCCACTTCTAAATTGATAAAATGTACATAGTAAGCCAGTTTGAAATTTTTATTAAAGTTTTCGGAAAAGTTAAATCTTTCGCTCCACTATACCCGCACATAGCACTACAGTCTGCCTGATTTTTTTTTCCATCATATTTCTCCTGAGACTTCCAATTTTCGTATCAATTGTTTCACAGTTTTATATAAAAAAAATGAAAATGACAGGATATGGCTTCTTCCACTTTTTGAACGCTTACGTAAGGGCTCAGGATGTCCAACCCGGGGCAAATAGGTCAGAGGAAAAGGCTTACAACAACTGTCGGTCAAGGAGAAGGGATTTTAAGAATCAAAGTCAACCCCAGGAATAAACAAAGACAATTCCACACTGAAACTAGAGACAGATGAAAAAAAAAGGACCTCGTAAAAACTGACATTCTCACCATATATTCTCTGAAACTGCAATACCCCAAGTTTGAGATCACGTAAATCCTGGAATGAACGTTCTAAAATTTTCTTTGCAATGCACCACATTTCGCGTTTAAAGTGGATAAAACATATGTAAAGTAGGTCCTTAAACCAAAATATAGATGCTAGCAGAGATCAAATTTACATATAATCAATTCTTTCTTATATACTGTATCAATATTTGTAGTTAATAGAAAAAAAAAACATGGCAGATATATTCCTGAGTATGTATTACACAGTTCATTATACTTTAGATCATTTACAAGGTCAATCAAGGACTCGAGGACCACAGAGTTGTCATATTGGCCATATGTTCATTTTTGCCGAAAAATCAGGAAGTTTCAACCTCTTGAAAATCTGAAAAACATATCCGGAATGAATCAAGTAAAGGTGGGGCAAAATCTACTTTCATCATGATATATAATTAGTGTTGCATTTTGTGCAACCCGTCCAAAAATTCTGTCCTCAAGTTAACCCCTATAAAGATTAAAAGGTCCGCCGAAATTAATTTGGAAAACGTCAAAATTAAAAATAACACGTATATATAGTTTTAGTTTACAAGGGTAGGCAGATGATTTGTTTCTGTCATCCCTGACCCCTTTCTGTCGACTTAACTTCTATTCCTATTTAAGGATCCGTTTCCTTTCTGCAATCCGCTTGCCCCCTGTCAGTGTTCCAAATGGAAGAAATATTATGAAATTTGTAATATATACCCTCACGACATAAATGTCATGGAATGATCTTTCCATAAGGGATATTTATAATGAAATTGTCTTTAATAATGTTTTAAAGGGAATATCTCTAATGATAACAATTATTGACACTGACGAAGGCTTTTTGTTAAACCGAAAAATTTATCACGATTTATAACATCATCTTCGTATATTACCATCTTATTATTACCGTTGTGCATATCTAGATATGCAAGCGCCAGCGGGGGTACTGACACCTGCGTCATCAAAACATAGTATTTACAAACAACATTATATGATTGTAGTAAAACATGGTACAAGATACTACGGAAGCGTATTAGCGCCACACACCTTTTTTAAAATATTTCTTCCTATGTCTGCGTTATAAAGCAAACCTTTGCGAAATAACGCAAACCTTTGCGATATAACGCAAACATTTGCATTATAACGCAAACATTAGCAAAATAACGCAAACATTTGCGTTAAACGCAAACCTTGGCAAAATAACGCAAACCTTTTGCGTTATAACGCAAACATTTGCGATAAAACGCAAACCTTTGCGAAATAACGCAAACCTTTGCGTTATAACGCAAACATTTGCGATATAACGCAAACCTTTGCGAAATAACGCAAACCTTTGCTTTTGATAACGCAAACATTTGTTTTATCTTATTTTTTATTTAAGATTCAAAGGAAGCAGCTGTTATTAATGGAGGAGGCTGCATATAATAAAATTTATCCCCTATGTACTCATTGCAAAGTAAAATGCTTGAATATTTAGAACATATCATTGGCTAATAATGAGCAGGATGATAGATATAAGAAAATGTGGCATAAGTGCCAATGAGAAAATTCTCCATCTAAGTCACAATTTGTACAAGTAAACCATTATATGTCAAAGTACGGTCTTCAACACGGACTATTGGCTCACACCGAACAGCAAGCTATAAAGGGCTCCAAAAATGATATACATGATACTTCATGTATATATATTACAAAGAACATTGAGTAAATCGAAGTTATACCGAAGAAAATAAAAAATCAACCCTGCTAATATAGCTACAGCCGAATACAAATATACTTCCAAAGTAAGCTCTCGTTTGAGGATTGTGTAAGGTTGAATGGTTAAATTCAAACAAGTTACATGTACCCTTTTGCAATAAATGTATAAAATGAAGATGTTTTATTTATAAAATTATGTTCTCTCCATTAAAATTGCTACCCAAGCATATTAAAATGACCTCACTAGATTGAAATGAAAATTTCATGACTTTTTATCAAAGAATCTTTATCATATTCTGAGATTTAAAAAAAAAATGATTTCTTACATGAAAATTAAAAAAAAAATGATTCTTTCTTAATAATTCATTTTACAGCAGAAAGATCATATTGTCTATTTGACTTGACAGTTTTGTTATATTATATACTTTTCTGATCCCTTATTCCTATGCATATTCATTATAATGATTTGGCCTTGTATTTATGGTTCTTTTCTTAACTAAATCACTTAATGACAGACGGACATATATACAAAACTT